CCCACCCACCCAATAAAAAATCCGAAATCCCGCCTCTGATATTTAAAAATTTTCTCATTGATTTCATTATCGTAAAATAATACAAGCACAGGCCTGCACCGAGTACGTCTCGAGGAGGGTGTGGCCATCTAGGAAATTAAGTCATGCGCAAAGGGGGTTAATCTCCAATATTCTCCCCCCTTGTTTCTTTAGTCCTTATTCATTCAAAGAAAAAACTATCATCATAAACGTGCGCACTGAAAAGTTTGAAAGGGGCCCCTTAACTTTCCGTAATAAAATAATTTATTTCAATATCGGATTAGTTATGTTCAATATCGGATTTCCCTCAATTTTAACATGACAATGTGGGAAATATGATACATTTGGGGGGAAAGACTCTCTAAAGTCATCTGCTAACCCTGTAAATTGTAGAACATGAAAAATTGTATTTGATTGTGTCATTAAAGTTAATTAATAGTATGTTTCGTTTATTTATTAGTAAAATATATCATTGATAGAAAAAAGGTGTAAACGGGAATACCAGATTAGTTATGCCCTCTCTCCCTTCATGTTTTACGCTCAGCTCTCCTATGTGTATGACAAGTAAAATTCGGGCAGGAAATCTTCAGCTTCGCAACTGAATGAGTTTTTGCAGCAATTTGAAATTTCATGAAACCACTTTACAAACTGATGTTTTAAATCACGAGTAAATTCTAAAGTACTAGCCGGAAAAGATTCCCGACGGAAATGTTTTTGGTTCTGAGCACACGAAACATGAGTAAAACAGATATTAGATATATTTTCCAAAAAGAAACCTTTTTGTTTAATTCATGTGGCGTTTGCACAAACATCAGCGACAAAATAGAACTACCTTACTATTCAGTTTATGGAAATGAATGTGCTGCCAGATCCACAAGAAAAACTCAATTCCATCACCTTTGAAAGTACAGTCATATGATGCGTTCTATCGGTAAAGGAAATTTCAATTTCCTCACCGAAAAAAAAGAAAGAATTTGGTACCCGCAATAAAAGAAAGAAATTTTTTAAGTTGACGGTGTGCAACATCAAGCGACAGCATCAAATTCACAATATTTACATCAACATTCATCACATTAGACAATTGTTACCACTAACCTAACAGGGTCTCGTGATGAATTATATAGTGAAACATCATTTGTTTCTGAATCCCAACTTTACTGGACAGCATTACGCTTGTTTTACCTATCCTATCTTCTTGCCAAACAAATTACATCCTCTTTCAGAATTAATACATTCATGATTTTCCAATAATTTAACAAGGCTTCTTCAGCGTTAAAAAAATAATTTCCCCGGTAGTAATATTTTCCAAGCGGTGAATTTCATGTAATTCCTCTCAAATTTCAAATTATTTCGACGTCACGAATGAACGTAAGCAATTGTCTTCAATCCATGTGCAAATGGATTTTCCACTTCAGCTAGTTCATGAGAAACTTCAAAACTAGCTCGCATAAAAGCTCCATTTGCTTCTCGGTAAAAAATAGTTGTTGAGAAGCTAGGCGGTTTGTCAGAGAATCTACTTTTTTTAAAAGCTTCTGCCCACAAAACACCAAGAGTATTCATTATTTATTTTTCTTTACTTTATTTTGAATGTGTGCAATACGTAGAATATCTGTAATTTGGAATTGTTCTTCGGCTAGTCTGAATTGCCACGTGCGCCGCAGCCGGCCGATTGCGAGCAGAGAGCTGACACTTCATCACCGGTCTAGCGGCTCTTCGCTTTACAATTCCTCAACACAATTTTTGCGTAGTGCTTTTTTGTTGAAATTTGCACAGCGAAAACTGCAGATCAGGAAGTGATATCATATTTTCCCATTTTCTCCGCGACCTGACACCTGGTACTGATTAAAGTACACGTGCATTTCATCAAGGAACCTTGTACTAACACTAAACATTGTATGTACATTGTTATTGTGCGACTGTAGAAGAGCTGAACAGGTGAGTGCAGGTGCATCTGTGGC